AAAAAAAAAAAACCAAAACAACTGTCCGAGAAATATTCCATCTGTAGGTATTTTCAGGGAATCCCCTGAGTTACGAAAAGTTCAAGTAAAAAAAGAAAAATCAGCCTATAATAATTTTGTATATAATGACTGAACTACTATAAATCCACAAGCAACAGTTCAGACACGGTGCCTCCAAAGCGTTCATCCCCTCCCTTCCCCTGCCAGGCACGAGCTGCGTCCTGAGGAGAGGTGGAGGGGGAAACCTCTTCCCCACCTGACTCAGCTCAGGCAGCAGGAGACCGAGCCCATCACTACTGCTGAGCGCCTGCAGCAGCTGGAACCGGCATCCCCAGAGTGGTGGCGGCAGAAATGACGGGCGAGCCTGCTAGAGGTCCAAGGGGTGAAGGTGTTGGCACTGAAGAAATCCCTGGAACAGAGACAAGGAAGCAGGAATTAGAGGGAGACCAGTGCATCCGGGACAGCTCAGCTTCTGAACGGGTGCTTCTGCAGGTCAGTTCGCTGCTGTCTTGTCACACTGTCAGAGCTGCCAAAATAAGCTGAGATTAAAGATCTGTTACTGCTCTCCGCAGCCTCTGGAAGAGCTCAGATTTCCACGCAAGTGTCACTGATGGGCAGATGTACGGCAGGATCGCTGTGCTTCAAACTGCTGCCAAGAAATCCAGCTGCAAAGCACTTTTTAGAACAGGACCAGAAAAGCAGGTCAGGCTGCAGCGAGGCCTTATTTATCACCCCCTCCCACCCTCTTCTTCAGAGCCCTCCCTGCCCTCGTCATCGGTCCCAGGAGGTGACCTAACGCCCCACGTGCAGGACTCGCCCTCCCGCGTCCTCCCATCCCCGCAGCACGTAGAAACGCTTTAAACCACCAGGCAGCAGGGAGAGGCAAGAACGGAACTGACCTGACATCATACTCGCACTGCTGACAGGAGTGCTGCCACCCGGCATGTTGGATGAGCCCATCCGAGCTTGGTCTTTCACGATGGGATCTAGGAAGAGCAGACTATCCTTAGGTGCTGTGTTGCCAGACGGCAGCCGAAGCACACCAACCGCTCGCGACCGCTGTGCTCAGCCCCGGCAAGCTACGTCAAAGCACATCAACCGTCGGCGACCGGGACGCAGGAGTTTCCCCCAAATCCACTGGGAAGCACCCAAGAAGGCACCAAGGTAACACGATCAGTGAAAACGTCGCCGAAGTAACGCGTTTTGGAGTTCACAAGACTGCCTGACGGCAGAAGGTGAAGGTATCTCAGCACCCAAGAAGGCACCAAGGTAACGTGATCAGTGAAAACGTCGCCGAAGTGACACGTTTTGGAGTTCACAGGACTGCTTGACAGCAGAAGGTGAAGGTATCTCCTTTCTGTGCTAGCCAACTGCCTAGCTGGCCATTCTGTGATTCTGTGATTCCATGCTAGCCAACTGCCTAGCTGCATAAAGCCAAACCCAGGGAACGGGTGTAGCAAGCGGGAAGATTATCACCAATTACAATCGTGTCACGTTGCTATACACGTCCCAGAGCAGCCTGTGAGCTGTCGTGGGTGTCATCAGAGCTCGCTGTGTTCTGCAAGACGTCACCAAATCACTCGCTCACTCCCTGTTTGCAGCTGCAGGTAAATAACAGCTGAACAGGCACCCCCCCCTCCGGCCTCCCGAGCCTACTGAAGGCGAGGGAGTTTTCAATTTGCCCTTCCTCATGCTGAGCGCAGTACAGCCTGTATCTCTGCCTGGACACCCCTTCGTTTCGCTGCTTGTCCAACTCCCACATTCCAAGCTTCCTGCTTTACTAATGCTCCTACCCGTAAAACACTTCACGTGAACGTCTGCCACAGGCGTAACAGAGCCCCACGGCCTGTTAATTATACAGGCCCCTTCAGCAGCAAGAAGAAAACAAGACTAAATCAGCAAATACACATTATTTGGCATTGTCACAGCTGTTTTAAAAACCTAAATATCGAGATTTGGGAAAAACGGCAAGTTTAAAAACGTTTACCAGCTGAAGTTGCAGTTTTGCTTGCAAAACCAAGACCTGAGGAGCGCATTTGCGAAGGTACGTTTGGCAACAGACGGAGTTACGAGGGCCTGTTCCTCAGCAAACCAGAGTTGCCCGGTTTTACCAAAACACGGGAATCCCTGGGCCTGGACACGTGCCGAAATTAGCACGGCTGTGGCACCCAAGCTGCTTTAACACGGCGCTGCTGATTCAGTGGCCCGACATGGGCGTGTAACGCTGCTTCCACGCGGGTGCGGGTGGCAGTGGGCCACTTCATCCACCAGAGACAAACAGCCTCAGCTCCAGCCCAATTATCTGGCCGGGCTTATTACAAAAACGTAAGACCAGGTTGCTTACGCTCCCGTTCTTCGCTTCTATCGGCACAACCCCCTGGAACAGAGATTTCCCGGAGGCAGAGGGACTCCTCTTTGGACAGCAGGTGTCGACAGCAGCTGCTACTTACAGAAGTAGGGGTGTTCCATGGCTTCTCTCGCTGTGAGTCGTGACTGGTGATCATATCGCAACAGCTTGTCTAAGAAATCCAGAGCTTCTGGGCTCACCAGATGTTGGTTCTCACTGTGAACAAAGCGCTCCCATCGCTTACGGGAGTGTCTGTAGGAAAAAACCAAAGATACCCAAATGTGGTGGTTTGAGCGGCAATAGAGTTAATTTTCTCCACAGCAGCTAGTATGAGGGTGTGTTTGGGATGTGGGCTGAGGATACTGCTAGCACTGACGCTAGCAATACACGTGGTACCCCAATCCGCCTAGGCAGAGGGCATCAGTGCCCAACTGCACTGTTTTACAGAGCACGGACTGCGGTAAATGTCTGTCTCCGAGAGGGGCTGAGCCATTCCAGAGCCCCACGCAGCAGTAGGCTGGGTCTCCACGCGGCAGCACACCCACCACAGCCCTGGACAGCGTGAGGGCTCACGTTCAGAATGGATCCACGAGCCCAAAATCCCAGGTTCTGCTCTTCCCTGACACCCCCAACATCAGTTCTTTGTAGTTTTGGTATGTGTTACACCAAGTAACTCCGTGAGGAAAGAAAACATATAAAGGCCACCTTAAGCAGCAACTGCTGTTCTGCACCGTAATTCTGAGAAACACTGTTTGGGCTTTTTCCCCAGAGTACTGAGGAGAGCATTTGCCCTTCATGCTTTACGCACTGACAGTTCATTTATTACCTAGATGACATTTAAAAATCTCTCCTCAAGTCCATTTACTGATAAAAGGACCAAGGGAAGCACTGACAAAAGGGATCAAAGGCACAAAGTGACAGTTCTCAAGAATCTTGGCTCAGATTTCTCCCATTGGGCTAAGTTTTTGTTTACTTCAAGGTCTGGTGACAAAGCAGTAGCTGTCTGGGTCTCCCGAGAGCTTAGGAGCTGCTCCGGATCTTGGCCCACCTGCCCAGGATGTCATTGAAACGTGGATCCAGTTCAATGTTGTATTTGTCAATGTAGTCATAGAGATCTTCTGTTCCCAGCACCTTGGCTATCCTCACCAGCTGGGAACAAACAGAAAGGGAAGTCACTCCTGTGACGGTACGATAATGCCAGAGCCAGCGCGCAGACGCAGCAGCACCTTCCCTTGGGAGCTTGAGCCTCGTCTCGGTGGCCACTGGGTCACCTCGTGGCTCGGACTTCCCTGGCAGCAGTGCCCCCACGCAGTCAGTACTTGGGAAGCCAAGGCAGCCAGGAGGGAGCTGCTACCCCACCATCACTAAAACTCGAGATCTTGCAACATTAACTCCTTTGCAGCAAGGAAATATTCAAGCCCAACAGAGTGGGAAGGCAAGGATAACTGGTCAGAAAGCAGGAACTCTGGAATTTGCCCATGAAGGGTGAAGTGCCACCCTGGGGGCTCCAGAACGAACGCCTGAGAACAGGTCACTGTTCTTGGATGTCTGCACATGAGCTCAGGTGCAGAGCCCAGGTTAAAGGTTTCAGTTTTGGCTTAAAGGTGAGATACCAGAGACTTCAGATTCTGCATAAAACTGTACCAAATTCACAGGTTCTATACGGAGGGGAGGGAGGGTGGGTAGTGGCAGGAGCTTTCCACATAACCATCTTGGTAACAGTCCACCTACGTACCAGAACATGTAGCTATGCCAAACAATATCAACCTTAATAGAAGTTGTATATTATTATAGCAATAGTTAAAGATATAACCCTTAAGCCTTAATATTGCTCTAACTTTTTCCAGATACCTACTGAGGAGCTGATAAATACAAAGCACTACAGCTCTATTTCTATCTGATGGGTTAGACATTCTTGCACATGTGAGAGAAGGAACGTGGCTTCAAACAGAGCAAAGAAGCCGTTAGAGAAATGCATCACTTTTCTCAGAGCCCTCGACAGAAGTGGAAGCAGGAAACCCTGAATGTGCTAAGAGATCATACGTGCCCAGCTCTCACCTGATCATAGTTGTCATGGCCATGGAAAAATGGCTCCTTTCGGAATATCATACTAGCCAACATGCAACCCAAGCTCCACATATCCAGACTGTAATCATACATCTGTACAAAACCAGAAGGACAATTTAATTTCTAATGAATTAAGCAGAACAGACTCCCAATACTACCAGGCTCCCCCCTCCCTCCAGTGAGACCAACATGGCCACATTGTACTGGGAACAGACTGAAGTATCTTCATCACCATGATCTGGTTCAGCTCCACGTTCCAGTCACTCAGACTGGGACAGGCAGTTAGCAGAACAGCCAGTATCTTACTTCCATCCTTGCCCATAAAGATATTAAAGACCTTTTTCTATTTTCACTGCAGATTTCGATGTTACCAATCACCATGTTGAGAAGGGGAGGACCACAAGCCACAGGAGGAGTTGACTGCACAAGGTACCCGGGAGGCGAGGCCGTGCCTTCATCCAGAACCGGCACGATCCGAAAGCCACCCATAACGCTGCCACTTCAGCCCCCAGCATTTCCGTAACGCAAACTGCCATCAGATAAGGGGGCGTTTTTACAGCTTAATTTAGACATTCTGCAGTCGTAGCTACTCCCACAAGGGCTTTCTTTCATCCCAATACCTTTCTGCAAACGCAGCCTTGCTAAAAAAATATCAGACTTGTATTTCAAGATCCATGATGATGGTTCTGAGACCGCTCATTCCTTTCTTTAACTCCGTGGCTTTATGAGCCACAGCTTTCCCCTATATGTTTTACAATGGGCTGTCTTTAGCTGCAGGTCTATGGGTGTCTGAATTTCTGGTGTACTACCTTGAAATGGCACAGAGTTTCTATATAAAATGATAAATCCTGGGAATTCTTACCTGATAATCTACAAGAAGTTCAGGTCCTTTGAAATATCTGGAAGCCACTCTGACATTGTACTCTTGGCCGGGGTGATAGAATTCAGCCAAACCCCAGTCTATTAGTCTAAGCTAGAAACGGTAGAGAACAGAGAAGAAAAGGCTCAAGGGCTGCTCCAGCTCTGCTCTGGCTGAACCTCACCTCAGGCAAGGATAGTCTGAAGCTTCATTTACACGTCGTTACCTTTCTGTGCTCATGGTCAATCATCACGTTGTGAGGTTTGACATCTCGGTGCATGATTCCCATGCTATGGCAGTAATCTAGAGCCTGTACGTGACAAAGAAACAGGTGCTGGAGTCAGGAGAATCGAGTTCAGCCCTATTCAGAAGCGTTTCCACATACACCGAGTCTAACTAGGCATCAAAACTTCACTGTCCAGTGTCAGATCCGGGAGCAGACTCACGGACCACAGCAAACCCCTCTGGAACCCCCTCGCAAAGGGAGGTCCCAGCAGCAGAAGTGTTTTGACTTCGCCTCATGTACTTCCTCATAAAAATGGAATTTCAGAGTCCCTAAGGGCAGAGTTACTAGGCACTGTTGATCAAACAAATCTCCCCTTCACAAGATTCCCAAGAAAATATTAGTTTCAGAAGAATGGACAAATCCATTTCACTGACATCACATGAGGGCACAAACCCAGCCAGTAACAGCTCACCATTTTCTGTTTTCAGAGGCTACAGTATTTTTGATTTAGGATCCTAAGTTATCTCAGTGTACCCAAATACTCCGCTATCCTCACAAAAAGGACTAGAGTTTGTTGCAGAAACAAAGCTGATCAGCTGATACCGACTCGATATATATTTCTACCCAATTCTTCCACAGGCTCTTTGCTTCACCCCTGAGTGACATGATAACCATGTCTCCAGGATTAGCTGAGTGTACATCCTAGAAATAAACCCCTGAGAGAGAAAACACCAACGTACCTTCAAAATCTCATACATGTAGAATCGAATATCATAATCTGTTAAAGTCTGGTATAATTGCTGTGGGAAACAAGCACATCGCATCAGTGTTCGACACCCAAGAAAAACACCCCATCCCTGCCAAGCCAGAGGGACCCAGCCCTGTTCTCTGCTGCTGCGCTTCTCCAAAGCCATCTGATCCCACCCCCAGCTCCGGTCAGTCTGCTCCTCTCCCCTCACGAAGCTCACACACAGTTTACTCCCCACTCTGCTCACCCAGTACATTCTGCATCCTGTCACTAACTCCCTCGCACGAGGCGTTATGCTGGCAGCCTGGGTCTCAGAGACCGAGGGTGCTCTGCGACATCCATGCTATTCCAGATGGTGCTGCACAGC